ATTACCTAGGAATGGGTCAAACTTTCTAGATTCAGTCCCACATATTAAGCAGTTGACTTCATTTTGAAGAATGCCGCCAAATATAGCTGTGACAACCGTAGAAGCTCCATTTCTAAACCAACCACCAGAAAAAGAAAGGAAATCATCAGAATTTCTGGTTTGGTTGCATTTTTACAATTAGTTTATTTATTTTCACACTTGCACTCTTACAAGTCAATGGGCAGAGCAATTTGGTTTGTGTGTAATATAAACAAGAAAAAAAACTCATTTAAATGTGGTTTTACCCATGTCACGAAGCAATCATTTAGGCAGAAATATAACAAGAATACGAGAAACCTAGAAAGAATTAGAAGCTATACTAAGCAGGTAACTGGAAATTAACAGATTCTCACCAATGACCTAGATTAACGTCCTCTGTCTTTAAAAAAAAACAACTCTGGGTGACTTCAGGCACAGGTAATTCTGTACTTGTAGTACCCCATGAATTTATACTAAAAAAAAATTGAAGAGGAGAATACACCTCAAAACTGAAGTCTGTGAAGTCTGTGCAGTGTGCATTTCTTCTTTGGACTCGCTCCCTTGCAAGTCTTTTGTGTTTGTAAGTGAGTTTCTGTATCATTATCAGTCCTCTTTACTTGCATAAATAAATGATAGTACTCTTCGTTTTAGAAGCTACAACATAGAAATCTTAAGGTGGCCTCCTGATAAAACAAGGCCAAACCAGCAATATTGCATGCACAGTGAGATATGTTTCTGTGACTTAATGCTAACTCGTGGTAGAATGAAAATCACAAGCAAATGCAGGGCAAGAAAAAACCCAGGCAACCTATGTTTATCTGATACAGAGCCTCAGGTGAACTGCTCTCTCCTGGCTGTACCTCCATAAAGCTACTACGCTGGAGGTAATAGCACATTAATAACTGGGCTCTGCCATTTTAGATTGGGTAGGTTCCTAACACCCACTCTGACACTTGGGCACCGCCACAAGGTTCTGTTTTTTTGGTCAGGCAAAGCAGCTTTTGAAGCCCATTTAGTTTTATTGAGACCAGCTGAGAACTGCAAGTTTTTGGTCCACTTTAAACTATACCTGAAATGTCCTGTATAACTTCTCCACTCTGTGAAGCTGTACAATTACTCTGTGGAACTGCATAAATCAAGAAAATGTAATAGCCAGTGATGCTTTATAACAAATCTGAAGCTTGTAGATTTCAAGTAGTAAAATTTACACAGTTCTCATGGAACACGAAGCATACTTTCAAGCTCACACATTGTCTGCATCTCAGGTCCATTTAACATGTCATTCTTTTCCCTACAAAAATCAGGACAGACAACTCTCAGCTACTCCTACTGCAAGGAGTCTGCACAGTAGCTCAAGTCCAAGTTGCACTGATTCAACATTCTTGCCTAAAGCAAAAAATTTTCAGTCGCACTGCAGATTTCATTTTAACAGAGTGCACATGGAAAAAAAAATCATTTCCAAAGGAAAAGATGTGAAAGGCACCTAACGTACCTCAATTTCAAAAAAAGAGAATGATTGGAAAAATCAGAAAGAAACCAGAAGCATGACCAAAGGTGAAGTAAAGCAGCAGCTGCTTCAAGCATGCCTCATAGGTGATAAATAGTCTTATTAATTGAAAAAAATCCAATTATATCAAATTATACTCACTCCCTGATCCATTCACATCAATACAAGAATACACTGCAATCTGTGGCCCATTTTTAATTAAATTATAAATACAGCAGGTGAGAACTCCTTCCCACCCTGCAAACTTCCAACTCACTCAGGCCACTGATTATTAAGAGAGTTCAGACTCCCTGAACACATCATACAAAACAGAGAACAGTGAGGCTGGGTTTAGTTTTTGAAGACAATGGATCAAAATGTCACACAGGTTGATCTGCTATTAGTTCTTTTCTTTTACATGCCGAGGGAATTCAACAACTCATCAGAAAAAATGGATCCAAGATGCAAAGTAAAAACAGTTAAAAACAGCAAGTAAAAGGGCCTGCACAGCAGAGATAGGCAATGTTTTGGGCAGAGTGCCAACCCCCCCCCCAACCTTGACTTGGCAGATGTTGGCGTGCCAGCGGTGGATGGCAGGGGAGCCACAAGGAGCCCAATCCGTGTTGTGGCAGCATAGCCCTGGCCCCTTCCCCACCATCTGCCCCGAGGTGTGCTCAAAATGCCTTTGCATGCCACACTGACACTCATGCTGGGGACTGCTTACCCCTGACCTAAAGTGTCATACTTTGGAATGTCATTCTTTTACATATACAAAATAATGATACAATAAGAAAATTCAAACAAAGAACAACTTAGATACTTCAATCTTAGCCTCTCAGTGATAAGTGAATCGAAACTTTGATTCAGACACGCTGTCACTTAAACTATTGGGGGAGGGGGGAAAAACCAAAACTAAACAGTCTTACATGCAACATTTGTTGCTTGCAGAGAGACCAGAATTTTCTTGCAAGATGACTGAGCGGGAAACACCATTGAAGCCACCTTGGAGTTCCAGATGTAGATGGTCCAAAAGATAACGCATGAATTCATGGGCATCTTGTTGCTGGTACCCCCTTAATGCAAGGATATGCAGTGAATGCAGACTGCATCTTTACTGATGACATATTAGCAGAATACATTTGCAATGTTCAAACTGACCATACAGCCAATTACTTAGCGTTTTACAGTGCTCTCTTGCTCATACTATTCTAGTATCAGTAGTCTACCAACTTCTGCAACTGTGGCATTAACAGGTCTACATCAGACTGCAACACTTGATCATTGTCTCAAAGGACACAGCTTGTGAATCTGCAGACAATGTGAGGTGCCCCTCCCTTCCCATCCAGATCTGTTCCACTTAAAGTTTAATAGTTTAAAATTAAATGGTGGGGAGGAGAGGTGAAGAACCCAATGAAAGCCACATTGATAACACTACAGAACAGCAGACACCAGCCAATACTTGTTTTTTGATGTATATGTCAGTTTGCTTCTTTTGCATTGTTTTGATAAGCAACAATACCTACAATACTGTGTAGAATCGTAGTTTTTAAAGACAGACTGGCCCTTCATGACCAATATACAGCTGGCTGGGTGAAGTCCTATCACTGGGCCAAGGCCACTGTAACTGCTGGCCAACAATGAGAACTTACTTCGTATAAAAGGCTATCACATTTGTTGATATCCAGCACTGCTTTCAAGCACTGGGATTAGACAGAGCACTAGAGACGTAGCAGATGGAGGTGGCTATTGATTATCTCCTCCCTCCTTGCAAAATCATCCTCTCCCTTCCTCTTTTGGGCTGCTGGTTGCACGTGTCAGCAGCTTGTTGCACGGCAAGTGAAAAAGGGGTATGGGCAGTTGGACCCACTGTTGGCACATCTGGGCTGTGAAGTAACTGTGCAGGGCTGCAGCCTGAACTGATCATAAGTGATACAACAGGGGGGCCTCAGTATCATCTAGTATCAAAAGTACATTTTTGGCAGTAAGATTCAAGAGTATCTGGCTAATTTGGGTCAGATTTAATTCAGCCACAAAACCATCATTCCTTTGGCACTGTCAGCAGGTTTTCTTTTTCTAAGTAAAGGCTTTCCTTTTCTGGGTGGTAGCTTCCACATCTCCTGCATGGCAAGCTCTTTAAAATAAGACATGTGAAAGGGGAAATATTTCTAATATTTCTAGACTGACTTTCACATCTGTGTTTAGAATAGCATGCCTCATCCTCAAGTCACTTTGCAATATGTGAAGGAAAGAGGGTATCTAGGCTCAACCAAGCACATCTGGATTTGGAGGTAAACTTCACCTACTGAAGTTCCCTGGAGTCTAAGGACCACAATGGATGCAGTAAGCAGAAAGGTGTTGCCTAGACAAGAGAACCTTGTTGTTGTACAGGTAGCCAGGTACTGGGAGCAGAAGCAGTTAGGCTAAACAGATTTTTTTAATTAGTCATTGAGCTAAAGCTGTATCAATTTAAGGAAAGACTGGAAGACATGATCTTAATCTTCATAAGATCCTCAAAAATCCAGATGTATAAATGGTGGGAGTGTTCAGATGTTACACACACAGAAACTACCTAGCATTTGCACACTGGTGGTGCATCACATGTAAAATCAAACAGAGCAGCCATGATAATGAGGGCAACTGTGACTGATTATTCAAACATGATTGTTTATGCTGCAAACAGAAGCCTCCTAAAATCAACTTCGTTCCTCCAGTACCTGCTGTATCTCTAGCAATAGAGTGCTTTATCTAACCACTAAGTGGGATTTTCATTATTATCCTTTGCTGCTTTAGCAACAAGTAACTATTTTAGTATGTTCTAAACATATTTCTAACACATGTAGCCTTCCTGCGTGAAGGCATCTTCAAAACAAAAAAGGTCAGTAGAGGTGGAAAACCGAATTCAAAAGATTACTGATCAAAGGCAAGTATCTTGCTAAACCTTCTGCTATGCAGGTGAGTATCTAACACAATCTTACAGGTAGGGAAATCACTTGCCCAGAGTCCTTCAGCAGTCCAGTGGCAGAGCTGGAAAAAGAACCCAGTTCTCCTGAGGCCCAGTCCAATGCTCTATCCTCTATTTCCAAGTTAGCTGTTTATATACAGATACTGACCATTAGTACTCCATACTGATTATCATCCCTATAGAATAAATGAATGAGGCAGTTCAAAGCCAGGTGCTAAATGTAAAAAAAAAAAAAAATCATTTAAATGCAAAAAGACTGGCTAGGAATTACTGAATTAATGCAGACTTTGTTTACTTTATCTGCATTTTAAATTTTGAGTAAATTATACAAAACCGCCACAGAAGGTTTCTGGGAATAGAAGCATGCAGAAAGACTACATTTCAGACATGAAAAAGGGAACCTGCATTTTCAACCCCTTAGACTGAATTAATAACATGAACATATTTAGTCCAAAAGAGATCTTTTTAAATGAGAAACATTTGATCTTAAAAATGTGCTGCACATTCATTTGCGATGGCATTTATAACCCTGTTCTTCCTGATGGGTATTTGATTTACTCAAGTATAAACAATGTTTTATGGGCATAAACTTGTTTTAGAAGGTATGCTTTTAAATGTGATCAAACCACCACATAATTGACTATGAGCTATCTACAATAAAATGATGAACACATTTTCTTTGACTGGAAATATAGTTTCTCACACCAGAATCTCACAATTCACAAAACATTAGCAAAGTAACTCTACTTCAACCCAGCAAGATACTATAGAGCTTAGAATGCAAGAAAGTGAGCGCAGCTGACCTGCCACACTACAGGTCAAAGGCCAAGCTCTCATAGCAAGACTACAGAGTTTAAGGGGAAAATCTTATTTGTCACTACACACAGTCTACTGTAGTTGTATTAAATTTGCATCTAATTGCTAAAATGAGTTATACTCTCTATTTATACGTGGAACAGGAAAGAGAGAATTGACCTCAGCAGTTTCAAGTTGCTTTCCATTATGCTACATCCAGTTAGAAAGACAGGGTCTGTGGTGATAAGAACAGGTAAATGGCATTAAGAACTAAACTCTGAAATGTTGAAATCCACAGGAAAAAACTGACAACTGCCCAGGATGTCAAGGTTCCACCATCACTGCACTCAGCAAAGTAGTATAGTGGCAGGTCAGCAATAAGACACCTAACTCCAAACCTAGCACCTACCTCCACGTGACCATTGTAGTCTGGCCACATCACATGGTGGGACTACATTCTAGCTGTAGTATCAGTAACTTAAGCACCATGGTGCAGTTCCACACTGAACAACTATTCCTTTAGAACTATTACCCACTGCTCCTCCAGGCCAGAGGAATGGAGTAGAAAGCAGACTAAGCAACTGAATAGGCAGCCACTGTCCATATTGCATTCTACATTCTTTGCTTTACCCAACACAAAGATAAACAGATGGCCTGAAGGCTCAGTACACAAATATACCCCTCTAAAAAGTGTGCACTTGTCCCAAAGTAGCTTGTGTTACGAATGGGTAGCAAGTTTCCTTCTACCACAAGAGTGCCAAATTCCCAGAAAACAACAGCACTTTTTCGTTAAAAGCCACAACAGAATCCACAGTGCTGAAAATTTGCTAGAGGAACTTAGACACAGATTTCTTATTTAGTCTCATGAGAATTAGAGAGTGGATTTATTACTGATAATGGGGTTACTGGTCAAGGATATTAAAGATGATGTTTTGATGCCTACAATGTTTGGCCATGGCTTGAAACTACTGGTATTAAAACTTCCTTGATTCTATTAAGCCAGTGAAATGCTTATTATGCAGTGTGCAGAACAGAATAGATGGCCTTTTTATTATCTGGGTTATCCATCTAAACACGTATGTTCACAGCATCTTTTCAGCACTGCTGGAGATGTAACAGATATAGAACATCTTTACTACCTGAGAACATGGAGCAACTTACCTTCATCACAATAAATCCTAACAGGTTTCAGTGCTCCTTTGAAAGAGGTTCAGGGGCCAGGACAGGGCGACCTTGGAGAGGAATGATACTTTGATTTACTTGGGTAACTTTTTTTCCCTTCTTCTGACAGCACGGGTGCAAAACACCTATTACATAAAGACTAATTCTCTCATAGCCCTTATCTAAAAAGTTACACAGGTAGCGGTTACAATGTTTTAAGAGAATCAAGGAAGTTTTGCCCAGTATGTTTTGTTCAGGCCTGTGGCAGCTATAAGTTTTTAACATTCTTACAGGCTAACGTTTTGGTTCTGTCCAGTCTTTCTCCTCAGTGATTTACCTATATGACACTTCTTTAGTTTTCTACCCCTGCAGCAACCAATACTCCAAGTAATTAGCTACTACCCTCATATCACATATGAAGAATGTGTCTTCTCAGACATTGTTGCATGTTGACCACAAGTCATTACAGATGAATGCAAGTCATAGCATTGCACTCCTTGTCATAAGAAGTATTTGCAAGCACCGGGGAGGCTACATGCAGCATGTTCCAGGAGCCAGCAAGTCACAGATTAGGCCGTAGATAGGACAAAGTTACTTTCAGAAACATTTTCCTTTGTCTTGCAGAACTTACCTAAAATTTGGCATAATTTTCCAAACGACATAAAAAAGAGACTCTGGGCTAAAAGCTGTTTGACTGCCCTGCCAGAGGGCACAAAGAGTCTTCCTAAACTCTTCCACCAATGAACTGGGGAAAGAAAATGAAAGTGACCAATTAGCAGGGAATCTTATATAATCTTCAGGTCCTTCTCAGTTCAGTGGAATAAATCTTATACAAGTTATTTTAATGAAAATGGTCCCTATTTGTAAACTGTTTAGTTTTACTTTAAACCCAAAAACATATCCCAAATGTCTAAAATTTTAGACATCTAAACTCAAATCCACAAAGGTGAAGAAAGCCAACATCATAGAATCACAGCTGCAAAGGATGAAAGGGACAGATTTTCTGTCTAGGTCTTCATCGCCATGGCTATCCAAGCTCTTCTAAAGCTGTCCCTGTAAATTCTGTCCAGACTCTTTACAGGCTGGTATAATTTTACAACCTACCTGAAGATTTGGTCTACTCAGTCACCCTATGAATTCCCATTTGTTACCATAACCTAATTTCACTGGCAGGAAATGTATATTGATAACCTAGTTCTTTTACTTAATTAGTTTACTCTATTATATTAAATTTACCATAAACCCACCTCATCCTGATTTCAGATCAAGCTGAGCATCTTTCTTCACTTATTATGTGAATTTTGCCTTTTGTTTCTCATACTTCTCCCCATCTTTCTCAGTTCTAGACAATGTTTACCATTGTTTAAGGTCCTTCTAGCAATTGAATACATTCTTGTATGCTAAGTGAAAAACGTATCTGAACAACTGATTCAGCATTAAGCGCTGGGTGAGACATAGTCCAGGTAGGTTACTTAATTCCAAACTTTCACTTGATCACACTCTAACACTGTGTGATGTACACAACTCTCCCCTGTGCACTAACAGCTACAAGAACAGAATGGAAATCATTTAAGCTTCTCCATCTGTACTGACGCTAACAAGGTAGCTGGGAACACTACTGTAAGTATCTGATGCTGCTTCTTGAAATTCTGTGCTAGTAACAAATGTGTTAACTTACACGTTGTTATCCCCTTGGCTCCTGGTGTGGTAAGTTCGCCTGCCTGCTGTTTTCCCATTCCGCAATTCCACAGCTGGCAACTCCTTGAAGTAGCAGCAAAACTGCTGAATGTTACTACAAGAAAGGAAAAAATTTAAGAGAAACATATAAAGAACTGAGACAAGACATACACACAAGACAAGGACAAGGTCCTTGGAAGTGCTCACCTGCTTTCTTCAAATTATTTAAGTGATCACACTGAATTGTTCATGTTTCTCAGCAACAGAATTAGTCTAGATGCATGTAATATGCATGTAATACTGCAGCAGGATTACTCGTTATATGTACAATGAGCATAACTATAAATCACCACCCTGGCTTTAAACTGCAATAGCCATTACACTTCCTTTGATGAGGAGAGAACAGAATTCCATCTTTTGTAGCAACACAGCAATTAAATCTTACATGCTGCCGTTGGAGTAGAAAGATTCTACCACTGTACTACAGAACCAGGCATGGTACAATACATATGGAGAGGACAGAGAAGGGGCCAAAAGACTCCCTATTTCAGTGCAGCTGTCTGCCAAGATGTATGACTTTTTCTAACCATGTTTTCTGAGGAGACCCTGACCCTGTCAATAGGAGCAAAAGCTCAAACTAAAAACCAAACGCATCCACCCCACTTCCCTGGGCCTAAACAAAAGGAGTCTCAGCTCAGGCATGCAAGTGTGAGCCTGGCCAGAATGCTGGTGATTCAGCTACCAAAAGGCGCCTGGCAGATGTTATACTTAAAATGTGATTAAGCAGCTTAAGTAGTAACCCTGCCACATGTTCATTCAATTAATGGTACAACACAACAGGGACGTGCAGTGACTTTGTGGCTGGCTCCCACTGGGCCTGAAACTGAACATGCAGCCAGCCTCAAGGACTCCATGCACTCCCTGTGTCTGGGGAGCCCAATCAGATAGCCAGCTGCAGGGGCACCAGGCACTCAGCTTACCAGTTTAGGGCACTGGCATTATGGCGCTACTGGGATCCAATCCTTGAGCCTTTAATTGTGCCTCCAGCCATGTGTGAATAGCGTGGTAGGAGGCAAAACTGTTAGGTTCATGATTCAGTTAAGGCACACTGGGATCTGAATGTCTGCCAGGCCTCACTGCCACAAACCTAGGTCCAACAACCGATTACCCAGAAACTTTGTTACCATTTTCACAACAATAATCTCTCCCCATCTTCTCAAACTATCTCAGGGCAAAGACAGTTTCATCAACACCCTAACATATTGCTCCCCTGCTTTCTTTGGGCTGTGGTGCTGCTTGTTAATTAGTCATAGGGGTCGCTTTGGAGAGGGGAGAGGTCCTTCACTTATCCTGAAACTCTGAGCATTTAGCTCCCACAGCACTTCCCATTCCTGCAAGTCCAGGGGAGATTTGAATAACAGCAGCACAACCCTTGCACCTTGCACTGCAGCACAGATGCCACCAAAACGCCACTGGACCAGTACAAGAATCTGATTTTGTCACAGCACAAAGATGTCACCAGTACCTGAGAGACTGGAGAATTGCATTCATGAAACATGTGTTCCCCAGATTCCGGAGACCTGTGGCACAAAGGGCAGTGGTGCTCCCCTGTGAACCAAAGAAAGCAGATGAGTCAGAAGAGACAGGTGTCTGCCCCTTACCATGTGCCAAAAACTCACCTGCCTGGAAGAACACATTTAAATAAAACTAATGACAAACTTGAGCTGGGGAAGACAAAGCTGTGGCATATCCTACTCAGATGGTCTGAAGGATCTTAAACTTTCAGTCAGTTTTTGAGGGGCAGTTAATCTATTCACATTCAAGTCCATTTATTGAAAATGTGCTACTGTCTACTCCTTGAAAGGACAATTCACACAGACCTCATCATTGTGGGGGGTTTTTAACTAATTTTTTATCCAGTTTATTTTTAACAGTGCGATTTTGAAGAGTATTTAAGGACCCGATTTCCAGTGGCCTTCAGCGGCAGGAGGTACAAGGAGAATGGGCTGGAAAGGTTCCAGACAGGCCAGGCACATGGTATTTCAAAACTACTGATTCCCACAATTTAGAGCAATACTGCATGGACATTAACTTGTTTTTGCCAAGTGATGTGGGATTTTGGAGTTATTTTTATTTTCAAAACCCCACCCCTTGTGCTTTATCTATAGCCAATCAAGTTTAAGTATTATGTAAGGACTGTGTGAGGAACTTCTAACCCTTAAGCTCTGTAAAGTGGTATTTAAAATCTTCTGCCAACATTATTCCAAGTGTAACATAAAACCAAACGTTGGAGCCAGTCTGCTTTCGTGGAAGGATGATGGGTGCGTGTTCAGTTATTTAGATACTATCCTCTAGCCTACATCCTAGTATCTCAAGACAACTTATTAGCCACCAGAAACATTCAAAAGCTTTAAACTGTAGCAAACCCTATAGACCATCAGTGTATTTTTAAATATTCTGTCAGAAAACTCAGTATTAATCAAACACAACACCATTCAGCTTTCCAGTAACTGAATGAACTATTTTTAGATGGTCTCGTTTCTGATAAAGAAACAAACGCACACCTCAAAATAACCCCCCAGAATGCTCTATGACTT